TAGTAGTAGTAGTGGTAGTAGTAGGGTTTGGTAGTAGTTTCGTAGTAGTTTAGTAGTAGCTGAGTAGTAGTTTACTAGTAGTTGCAGTTTAGTAGCAGTTCAGTAGCAGTTTAGTAGCAGTTTCGTAGTACTAGTAGGTGGTAGTCGTCGTCGTCGTCTAGTCTCCTCCCCCACTTCCTGCGCCATTGTAGTATTCCCCTCCTTTAGGCGCGAAGAGGCCCGACAAGCCTGCATGGAGCTCTGGCCTCAGTAAAACTCTTCATGCAGACATAGATCTTCGAGCTCTCTGAGGTACGCAAACTGGGGTTTCACTCAAGAAGACTGTCTGCCTTGGCTAGAGGCATGCTGCGGGGCACGGTTGTGGCAGAAGCTTCTGCACTTCTGATATTATGGGCCTGACTTGGTAGGATGAGTCCATCCCTTCAGATTCTGCCAGGCGATAGACACACACTGCCCTCTGGTGTGTGGGGACTGTCGGGCGAACAGCTTACAAATCATGAACTGTCATCTGTGCTGGCGGAGCATCCTCACTATGCTTGCCAAGGAACTTGGCCTGCGCTTGCGGCAGGAGTGCCGATTCCAGCTTCAGGCAGAAGCAATGACAGTACAAACAGCGCATGCCGACACAGAAGCTCCCTCGTGATGCAGGTCCTAAATGAGCCAGCCACTGCAACGTTTCCTCCTTACAGAGTCCGGAATTTCTTCAGCATGACCTGCCAAAGATAAAGGGTAGAACAAATTGCGCTCTCCATCGGGCGGCGAAACCGAGCTACCCACGTCCGGTGCAAGGATATGGTGCAATGAAACCGCCAACGACTTTATGAACAACCGATGTCGGCCTGCATGTGAGGCGCACGCCCAGGGTTGGGCTCAAAAGCGCACCTCTGTGAGATTCCAGCAAGCTTTGGCATGAGTGAGAGCGGCGCAGGTCAACGAAACCATGTGTGCCTCAGACGAGGCAGGAACGTCACCCATAATGTTCAACAGTGACTTCTTCTTCTTCTTCTCAGCACATCGCCAGATCAGTCCTCATCCTGTCATCATCATCATCCTCACCAGCATCACCATCATATTTTTCCTCATCGACATCATCATCAGTGCCATCTCAACCACCGGAGTAGCTCCGCCAACAACACCAACCAACACTCGTGTGGAAACTCATCACAGCGATCAGCAGCATCGTCATCATTGTCAATGTCAGTACCTGCATCAGCACCATCATCAGCAGTAGCATCGCCATCATCGGTACTGCATCGTGATGCATCGCCCTTGTGATGCTCAATTTGGTTTTGATCCAGGCGCGCGAGTGCATGCGAACGTGCGGCAACTATAACACCTGCACGTGCCGAAAGCCGGAGCCTTTATCGCAGCAAACTGTTGAGGTCACCCGTGGCAGATTGTGACTGTCTTGCTTGCCGCAGTCTGCTTTGTCATATGATCGTGGCCAGCAGATCCTGTTCACATGTCTCAAGACGAGAGATTGCAGCTGAGGGTCAAAGGCAGCCAACTACCCTCGTTTTGCGACGGTTTTACTTTCAGCGATGGCGTAGTCAACAGGAGGCAGGATTGAAGCGTGATACAGCAGCAGTCGAGAGCTCGAACGAATTGAAGTAGACCTGCGGCAGGGACGATCTGTTCTATGACTGTGCCCTGACGCCACCATCATGCAAGCACACGGATGGTGTGACCTGCAATACCTATCGATATTGCACTCCCGACCTTTGCCTGATTGATGATGCCTCAGCCTCAGTCAGTTCTCTTGACGTGTTCATAGGTGCCTTTTACATGACAGCATGTTGCACAAGATGCACTGTCTGTACTTTCGGAGAAGTCTCTGCTCGGAGCCAACTGACCGGTTTCTCAGGTGTCGCGGGTTGGGACTTCCGTTTTTCCGATTGTCTTGACAATGAATGATCCCTCTACACAAAGGCCCTCCCAAAAAATGCAGCACCCATTTACACCTTGGGATTGCCGTGCATCCCCTGACTACAACAAGGTGGACTGCTCACCGCGGCGTCAGTGCGAGGCCGGGGCCACAAACACGAATCCCAGGAACTACAGCGTCCTCATAGCCATCTGTGAGTGCTGACTCGAAACCCTAGATTCCTGCACCCTTTGGCTCTGAGCGTGCTTGTCCGACCCGAGCCCGGCTCAAAAATCAGAGCCACGCTTGGGACTGTCACTGGCCTTCCCCTGCCGTGGCTTGTCCTTCTTATCAGTGAAGCGAACACTCGAAGCTGGAGCCTTGGACCTCAGGCCCTGGTCGGTTTAGGGTTTTGGGTTTAGGGTGTAGGGTTTAGGGCTTTTAAGGCAGGGTTCTGCTTCCGAGGCCTCATGCGATAGTGCAGCGATGGCAGAAAGAAGAATTGATCCCGAGGATGGCAAGGTACGGTACCTGCCGCAGCTGGCAAAAAGCAGTCAGAAGATGGTCTGTAAGCAGGCCAGAACTTTCGAAGAAGTTGTCAAGCGATATCAGTCCGCACGAATCTCAGACATTGGGGTTTGACTTGTGTTACTTGGCCTCATGAGGGTGAGAAGCTTCAGGAATACTCCCCGCAGCAGGTTGCGGACTCAATGCGTGAAGTGCGGCTTCAGTGTATGCGCCCTGCCCTTGCTGAGGTGAAGGAGTACTGGGAGAGGCAATGCAAGCCGGTGAGTCCCACAGCTTCTCTTGGCACCATGCCTGCCAGCGAGATTGCGCCAAGGTGCCAGCTGACCCCTTCTTGACGCACCTGCAGAGTGGTCAGGGAGGGCCTGGACCCTAGTACATCTCTGGCTTCTCCTCGTGCAAGTGATGCCTCGAAAACAAGAGGGGGCTAAAGCCGCCAGTGAGAATGGTCTTGAGACGTCAGGCCTCGTTATGGAACCCAGCCCGGCCTCTACATGCAGTCATAGCCCTAGATGCTTTCGAGTCTGGGTCTGGTTATGGCGGAACATCTCTCGAGGTCCGATCAGGCCCCGACAGCCCCTGCATCACAGGCCAGAGCCCGTAGCCGTAGACGCTCTCCTCATTCAAAGCTGTCTTTCCTTCACTGCGAAGTCCGAGATGCCAGGTGAACCTTGGGCAGGTGAAGCTATCAGAGGATCCCTTCATGGCTGCTGCCTTCGCCACGCAGGGTCCTGGACAGGCACCAGGGGTCTTGGGTTACTCTGTCGCTTCTCAGATCAGGGCCTCAACCCCCATGTTCTCCGTTGCTGAAAATTACACTACCCTAAACCCTAAACCTAAACCCCAAACCTCACTTGCCACCAGAGGTCATTAGATGTGCAGGCGAAGTTGTTCCCCGGAACGAGGCCCCGCCGTACGCGCCGAGTGCAGATCTTCCTCCACCGCCTCATTTCACGGTGGCAGAGGTGCCCTGCAAGACCCATCTTATGACATGCTCTTATGAGTTCTTAATGATCGAAGAGAGTCAGGGTATGCAGGGTCTTGCGGTTGGAGGACCCTGCGCGAGATAAGCAGCAAGCGCCTGATGCTGAGAAGCGGTCTCGCCTGCCAGTTGTGGTATGCATTTGCTGCCTCCTGCCGAGGTATGAAGGAGCATACTCATTCCTGGGTGCTGGCGATAAGGATCGACAACCTCGTGCGACAGGGGCTCAGGTTCACTTTCACATGCATATGTCTGATGTATGTATGTATGTATGTATGTATGTATGTATGTATGTATGTATGTATTATGCATGTATGTATGTATGCATGCATGTATGTATGTATGTATGTATGTATGTATGTATGTATTTATACGTATATATATATATATATTCATACCTGTTCATGTGTATCAGACAGACAGACAGATGCATTGATAGATCACTCAGATTCCAGATTGTGCTCTCTGTTCTGACAAAGACTCCCAGGCGGACAATCCTTGTCCTGGTTCCAGTCCTCATCTTCCTCTGGGTCAGCCCCTGAGCTGAGCGAAGACTCCACCCCAGAGGTAGGCTTTGCTCAGGAGATGATTATTTGGTGCATGTTGGCTCACATCTCCATCAATGCCTGCTGGCTGCGCTGCGCCTACACCAGCCGCTGCATGTAGTTGACGTCCTTGCATGTTGTGCGCACCCATGGCACGCTGAAAGGATGACGGTGACACTCTCGGTGGTCTCTGCAAGTGCTGTGACAATGTGGTTCTATGGAATGCGTGCCTGCCCCGGACGAGCCATTCCTGTACGCCTTGCGTGGAGAACAGAAGTATCTGAATGTCGAGACTTCTGAGGCTGATTTCAGAAGCCTGTGCTTTGTCAGGTTGGGGCCCCGTGTCCCTGGCAGCTCTGGGTGTCCTTTGCATTGTTGCCATCGTCATGGGCACCCTTCTTGGACAGCAAGGTCCGGCCGCACAGCCAGATTGCATATGCGAAGTATTTCAAGTGCAGGGGTTCAGAAGTGATTCAGCATCGCGGTGCAGCATCCATCAGAGTGCTGCAGGATGGGATCAGCACTGGCGGCTGTTCTGGTGGATGAACATAGGGTGGCTCCCTCGACCAGCGGTGTGACGCCAGATGTGAGACATGCCAAGCCCATCCAAGCACACTTGCAAACCCGGCTAAACTGCTGCCGCGAATAGACCGCAGGCAGCAGGAAGTTCCGCTGGGCCCTGAGACGTCGGGAAGCAGTTGACCTCGTACTTTCCGCGCAAAGTACTTACTTGTGTTTGCACAGATACTTCATAGGACTGTCGCAGCGACACCAGCGGGAGCACGTTCTGCTTGCATCTCAGTCATGACGAGGGTGTCATGAAGCGTTCGGCGTTCTCTCTTTCCCTGAAAAATATGTACTGAATACTCAAATATCGCATATTGTTTCAACAAATCATGTATGAGTTTTAATGAGGTATTATGGAAGTGTTTACTTGTTTCGTTACTGCATACATAGAGTCATAACTTACACATACATGTACTGTACTGCAGAGCCCTCTACTGTGTTGTGCTGCAATGCAGTGTTACATGATGCTATCGTACTCTATTGCATGCAGGCAATTATGTAAGACTGTGTGCATCTGCGCATAAGTATGTGCACACGTGCATACATATATACGGTGTACAGAAAACGAAGGACGCCGCCACATTGTCATTCCGAGGGGAAGCTTGGCTGCAATTGATTTTGCTTCAGCACAGGGTCTAATTTGCGATGCTCCTGTACGGAAGCTGCGCATGTGGCGGCGCTTGGATGAAGGCTCTTCACCGGCAACAGACCCAATCCTTCGCAGTTGCGCCAGGTCAACGGGACCTTCGACCACACCTCAGTGGATTCTAGCCGATCCGCTGGCTTCAAGGACTGAAGATGGTAGAAGTTCTTTGAGGTGTTCTGTTGCGACCAGGGCAAAGAAGCAATTCCTTGAGGACACGCAGCTGTTCTGCGTAGCCCCGATTCTCAGTGGCCTCCTTACTGACCTTACTGATTACTGGCAGGGGCACTTCGCACAAGCTGTGTTACATGCGGTGAAACTGCTGTCAGGTCCAGACACGGCTGGCGCTGACTTCCCAAGAGTAAACTATTGGGCCGCGGGCACCTTAGAGCCCATGGACGAATGGACCTGCTCATGAAAACATTGCAGCTCATGGCTAGCTTGTCTCGGCAAATGCAGCTGCCAATTGTTGCAGAGTAAGTTCCAAAGAGCATGCATTTGTTCATCTCATGGTCAGATTTGCCATGCCTTCAGACTCAGGTTGGCATTGACTGCTGCAGCAAGTCAGACTCTCGATGCCAACCTCAGATCCATAAGGGCTGTTCCGAGAATTTCAACCATCTTAGGGCTTGGGGGTGAGGGTCGGGAGCTGCAGGAAACGCGCGTGGGTTTGTGTGTGTGTGTGTGGCTGTACGTCTGTCACTCTGTTTGTATCTGTGTTTAGACACCTTGTTGTTCCAGAGCTCAAGCGCTAGGCCGCTAGGCGTTGGAGAGTGCTGGTTTTGTGTTGGTCGTATCGCAGCCGAGACCATGAAATGGTCTCTGCAGGGAGTTCAGCAATCCCGTGGTGACTCCATGAAAGTACGCGATGACCGGTGAAGCCGATGCAGGGGCACAAGGTAGGCTTTGTTTCTGGAAATCACATCTCCTTGCTATGCTGGCATGCACATCACTAGAATCGCCGCGCACTTAGTAAGAAATCCGCGAGGAGACGTGTCTCTGTACTTAAAACGACCTGGAAGTCGATCATGCGCGCGGAGCTGCGCAGTGGGAGGAGGCTGCGCTCAATAGAGAACGGACAGAACAGTGGTCAGTTCAACAGCACAGCATGAATTGCAGCAGGTTACCAACCCTCCCAGAGTTTAGGTGAGTCGGGGTGATGTGACCATAATGAGGATTGTACTTGTTGCCATTGCGCCTTTGTCGGCAGAGTTTGAGCACCGCTTGCCTCTCCTAGGTCTGGCTACTTTTCCTGCGATGGTGTTGGTGCCTGATATGCTTTGTGTCTGTGAGTGGATGCAGCATGCAAAGCGGGGAGGGCCATGAGAAGCTTGCTCACCGAGTCCCGGGACTCTGCAGCTGGCCATGGGGCTGGGGGCCCTGAGACCGGAGCGGTGCAACCGAATACGAGACACTTTCAACTCTTTGTGGAGAAAGCCTATATTCTGGATTCTAAGATGAGCTTTCCTTTGGGAACTGGCCCAAGCTGGGCTGCTAAAGGTCGTGCAGCTGGCCGGCGGCTTCCCGTGCCCCAGTCGGGCTCCAAGAGGATGTTGAATTCCGCAAAGGCCTTCGAAAGTTGTTTCGGTTCGAGACGGTTTCGGGTGCAGGGCTTAGGGTACGACACTGGGCGCAGGATCCAGAGATTTAGAGACATGTATGTAGGGTTTAGGGTGTTGGTTTCGGGGGTGAAGTTGTCATAGTGTAATATAGATATATGGCAGTTCATATAGTAATATGAATGTGGTGCGACAATTAGAAGAGTACTCAATATGGTGATATAGCAGTGCGAGCCTCAGGTCTGTCCCCTCGCACCCTTAAACGGGGAACCTTACGATAGAACCCTGGGGTGCCTTTTAAAGGGTGCCCCCTAGAGTGCCCTTAAGAGGGGACCGTGAACTTCCCTGCCATCAGAGCCCAGGCTGCAACGTGGCATCCTTTCAGAAGGCCATCGCAAAGGCTGAGGCTACTTATGGCCTGGCCACAGGCTCAGGGCCCGCAGCGAAACCGTGGGGGCGAGTGATGCGAAGGAGCGTTTGAAGAGACAAGTAAGAGTGGTTATAGTGATAATGCTAGAATGTTGGTGGAAGTGGTGGTGGTGATGGTGAATGTAACCGTCATGATGGCAATCGTGCATAGTCACAGTCATAGTGATCGTAAACGTAATAGTAGTCGTAACAGTGAAGTAATAGTAGTCTAGCTCAGGCAATACTGGTAACAACAAACAGGTCTCCTTCCTTGCAAGGTCAGCGCACCGGATGCGCTGTTGGTGCGATGGGTGGAGCATGCATCTAGTACCAAGCCCGAGACTCAGCCAAAGCTTTCCGGCGTCTCTGGATTATGTGCTGTGGGCGCTTCAGGATGCATGCCGGGGTGTGGGCCATCGGCTACCTCCTGATCTGCATGGTATTTGGCAGCGTGTTCTTGTCCATACTCGGCTCGACCGCTTGGTGCCCTGTGAGCACGTGCCTCCGACACTGTCTCGCGAAGCCTAGCACATCTTGCCAGGTACTATGGCCTGGGCAAGAAGGCACCCAGCATACAAGGCTTCTTCAGTGAGGACGCCAGAGAACGAGCAGGGCACCCCTCACCATGGCTCACAGTTCATGCAGCAAAGCTCGGCACCGGCCTGTCAGTGGTGCGCCTCTCAGCGCCTCCGCGAGGAGACACCAGAAGCCAGAGCCAAGAAGCAGTGAAGCTCAGCGACTGTCGCCAACTGGCGGCCATGTTTCACTCTGAGAGAGCGCAGCGGCATTCAGCATGCCACACTGTTGCCTTGGCTCACCCTTATGCCACATCACTCCGTCGTAAAACGGCCATCGAATGTGAGTTGTGAGGGATCGCCCGGTCGTTGTGCAATCCCTAAACCCTGAACTTCACTTCCAAGCTGCAATGCAGGCACCTGGCCGATGTGACTCCGAGAAGGGCTTGTGCCAGCCACAGACGTCACCACTGCATCATACAGCATCAGCAAGAGCCACCCGAGGCGGTACTCTACCCCTCCCCTCTGCTACGCAGAGACATGCTTTCTACAGGAATCAACAAATTTCTCTTCTGCGGTTCAACCTGAAGGCCTACGGAGTTGGAAGAATGCTGCGTAAGTGCGACTCGCATGCGTGGACACGAGCTTCCGAACAATCAATACGCCACCGTACGCCCATACCACTGGCTTTGGACAGGGCCGCGGTCTCGCACAAGCAACACGATGTCCCATTGCCGCGAGTATGTATCGGAATCAAAGGGTTGTTGTGCTTGAAAGAACTTATCGTCTTGGAGTACGCCGTGGAAAGATCTCACGATACAGGTCTACAACACCAGGTCACTAGGCATTTCACAGGTCTGCAGCAAATTGCGGGTCGCACCGCATAGGAGGCAAGATCAACACTGAACGCAGGTGTCGGTCCATATCGGTGTTGGGAGAGGCATTGACATGAATGCTCCTGCACAGTGCGTGGTATATGGTTGTGAACTCGTGTTCCGAGGGTTCCCCGGACCACATCAATACGCCTCAGGCAGGGGAGACATCACGGGCAGGCGTTCATACAGTGAAGTTGAATTACACCCTGGCATGCCTTTAAGTATTTCGTCATTGATGGAATCGACCAGCCTCTCCCAGATGCATTGTCCTCACTGTCACCAGTCAGGACACCTGCAGTGAAATCATGAAGTCAGGAGTCCCAAGCCACCAGCAAATTCCGACTATATTCCGTAAGGGAAACGGGCTGTCCGTAACGGGAACTCGTAGCAGGAACGGAGTCCAAAACCGTCACAGCAACCGGCCGGTTCCCGCAACTGCCCACAGGCGGGCCCTCGTAGCAGGAACTGGGGTGAGGGTTCCAAGACTTGTTTTCACATCTAGCATCTTTTCTTGGCTCCCCAACTCAGGGCCCGTTTTGCGGCCCCACACTTACAGGGATTCAGACCTATGACTCCAGCATGCCTTTCCCATATTATTCAGCTCGAGCGCTAGCCATCAGAAATTCACGACGAGGGTTGTTTTGGACATATGAACTTTATAGACTTTAGCAGTAGGCCTCAATCCTGAACCACTCTTCGACATGTTAAAACTCTGCATCTTGCGCCACTGCCATCCTCTCTCCCAAACCGCGAATCTGATTGCACCCAAAGTCTTTATGCCCCGAACAAAGAAACATAGGCGTGAGCATAAGGCTTTAATGGTCGCAACATAGGGTGCCGGTCGCAAAGTAGGGACCGAAAACTGGTCTCTCACAGAAGAGTTGCATGCGGTTCCGCTGCTTGGCTTTGCAGGGATAGTGTCTGTTAGGATCGGGGTGCGGTTCCTGTTTCTATTAGCGGCACTGGCGCCCGTTTCCATTACGGTGTGCAGAACTGGTTTCCGTTGCTCCCCAAAGCGCTCCCGTGACGCCCCGCACCCGCAAATCCCCATCGAAACCCCAAAAGAAACCTTAAAGTAGCTTTATAGAAACCCTTATATTCGGAACTCTCCTTCTCCTCGCCGAGGTGCTTCTACGAGAACCAAGTGAACGGCTACCCTTGTGACGACAATACCTTCTATACCCTCAATGACTCGTGCCAGAACGGCTTTTGCGAGGGCATCGCGGACTTTTGTTTGAGGTGCCCCCGCCGCATTGCACAACTTGAGATTTTCGCACCTGCCAAACTTACAGGTACAACGTATCATGTGATCCACTGAGTTCGTGCTTGTCTGGCGGCGAGTGCATCAACCTCGGATACACTTCAAGAAGTCTCAAAGAATCCGAACAGGACTCGTTTGCACCCTCAGCGAAGGTCATCCCTCTACCGGCCGCTGCACGTATGACAAGTTGCCGGACGAAACGCCTTGTGGCTAGACCGCGAAGGGGAACGCCGTTCTGTTTGCCTGAATTTAGTCGCCAGCTGTTGTGTGTCTTTCAATAGTCGCAGGTGACGACGGGAGGCAGTTTACTGTTCAGGACCGGGTGGGTGTTCTGAAGCACCCGTAAGGGCTCTGAAGTCGTAAGTGAGTGAGTCGCTGTACACAAGGCACCTCAAGGCATCATGCTGACCCCAGCGTCTTCTAGAGGACATGTGCCAGAATGGCCTATGTGTAGGCCAGCTGCACATGTGGCGCAGTCGATCGTGAAGTCCCCTTGATCGATGTTTCACGTTTGTTCTCTTCAGTTTTGACCCCAAGCAGGCCGTCCACAAGATCTTTGCGAGCAGCGCGGTGTGGTGTGTGAGGCCGACATCTCAAGACTGATTGTATGTTTGTTTGTGTGATGATGAATGTAAGTATGTACATAATTGCGCGAGCGAGAAGGCATGGATGTATGCATGTAGGTCGTAGGTATGCTCACGGTATATATGTATTCGCATGCACGGTACGTATGGGTGCGTGCATGTATGTATATGTGTGTACAGACGGATAAATTATATAAACAAATGAACAAGACAGTAAAAATATAAGAGAGCACGCCGGGCGGTTGTAACTGGACAAGCGCACACATGTGTATCCCTGACCAACGAACCAATTGCTGCATTGAGTAGCGGTGGAAGACTAGTTTGAGTCCTGTTGAAGCTTCATGAATGGTTTGGGCTTGTTCGGGGATCTCCCCCGGTTCCTTTTCCAGTTGGCGGGCCCCATGACATGTGGGGGGCGCCTGGAGCGCGGCGGGGAAGGTAGCTCCTTCTCGCTTATCCGGAGCCGGGTAGGCTTGGGAGCTTAAACCAGAGAGAGACAGAGAGAGACATATCCGAACCCTCTGGTGGATGGAGTGCTCTGACGAGCGGAGGGGTTTGGTCTGCCAACCCTCCTTACCCCAGAGCAAAGCAACGAGAGAGGTATGTGGCAGTGTCACTGCTGGGTGGTGGGGAACCCCGGCAAGCAGCCCCCCAACGGTAACAACGTCTTGTGTTTGTGCGTACTTGGTCGTGAGCTGAGTGTCTGATACAACGTAAAATTCAAAAGGGGGGAGCTGCAGACCGTAGAGTACAGTGGACGGTTGTCGCAGGGACCAAGGACTGGGCCGTAGAGGAGGCGGAATGGTGCGGGGATGACACCGGGATGCAGGATCAAGGACAGGGTTAGGGTTGGTTCCACGACAACCGTCTGCTCCCGAAAATACAGACCACTGGAATGAAAGTGTTGCCCGTAGGGCTTGCCCCAGAGCAAGGGAGCGCGAGATGTGCACATGCTGTGTAGTTCCCTGCGTCTTGGCTTGTTGCAGTGGTAGACACAAGGCGCCGAACTGGTGCTACGATCCAGGCCGAGCTAAGAAATGAGGGGGCAGAGCGAGGAGAGTGCATGTTGCATCCCTCTGTGCTGCATGTGTCGGGTGCCGGAGGCAGATGTGATCCGAAGACCGGGCTGTGCAGTGAACCAGTGGGCCTCGCAAAGGTTTGAACTGCATTTGTTGTGCAGAATGCAGGAATTCTGTACTTGTACTTGTACTTGTACTTGTACTTGTTGTTGTTGTTGTTGTTGTTGTTGTTGTTGTTGTTGTTGTTGTTGTGATTACAGTTGTTGTCATTGCCCTTAGTCGCTGTTTCTATCATTGTCGGTATCATTTTTTATTGTTGTTCTTACTGTTAGTAAGACATTACGTAGTATCACCAACACTAGTTCGTCTTAATATTATTTCTATTAGTAATTATAGATTATCATTAATTATTGTTGTTGTTAGTATTATCGCTGTTGACTATCATTGTTAACAGCAGTAGTCTCGTCACGGATCGTCACGGTTATTATCTGTGTTACCAGTACCATATGGGTAGTTGTCAAAATTATGGTCCCTTTTGGGGTACCCTAAATAATAGGTGCCGTATTACAATAAGGACCCGAAAAGGGACCATAATTTTGACAACCACCCATATTAATGGCATGATTTGCGCTGTGTTCCTGTTATGCAGCGATCATGCCAGACACTGGCTCCTGGATATCGACCGTGCAATGATCAAGACCCCACCACAAGCGATGACTCGTGGAGCCTGCATGATTGAGCGTTCTGCTAGCTGCCCATGCAACATGTATGCCCCTGTTCTTTGCACCGTGCAGGTGCATTGAAGGAGTTTGCATGGGCCATCTGGCCGATGGTTACGAGTTTGCCCGCCCTGTTTGAGAGCATGCTGTGCGTATGTCACCTACCTGTTGTGCAGCATGGACCAGGAACAGAAGAGCCGCATAGAAACCTTACAGTAAGCAACCCACAAAGATTACAAAGTGCCCGAACAGCACCGCTCATGGTTGAGAGTCCCCACAACCAGGTATCAGACCATAGGAGCCGGCGAATGTCTTGAGCCTACGGTGGCCAATGGCCATCTGCTGTGGCTGTGCTTATGCCAGCAATTGCATTGCCCAGGCGTTGATCGTGAAAATCGGCGCATGGCCCGTTATGCGGGAGATGTCAAGGTGGCTGAAGTGGGAGTAGCGCCTGAGCAGTTCTTGACATGAGAAGGATATTGGGGTCCGTGTAAGAGTGACATCTTCGCTTGGGAGCCCCGAAAAACGAAGCGGCTCAAATGTAAGGAAGTACTGACACATTGATCCTGCGGGCGTGCCGCATAAGCCAGTTCGCGCTTTGTGGGGTGCTACATTGTGGTTGTCAAAATTATGGTCCCTTTTTGGGTCCTTATTATAATACGGCACCTATTATTTAGGGTACCCCAAAAGGGACCCTAATTTTGACAACTATCTACATGGTCTTGGCATGCAGATGCAGAACCTGGCAGGATCAGCGGGAATGTGAGAGAATCTGCACAGGCAGGGTAGACTGTGGAATTGTAAGGAAGAGTCGTTGCTTTGAAACGGTGCCTGTGCTCTCAGTGCTTTGAACTGACGATTCAGCAAGCTCAGTTGTCCATGCTGCGAGGCGATCCACAGTGCGCTGGATACGCGTACAACTTTCCGTTGCCTGAACCTGAGAGAGTCACTGGCGCTTGCACTATTGAGGCTGCTTCGAGCAGACACTAATATTACACCGACTGCGGCAATTCCTGTTAGCATTCTGTTGCCCGGTTCGCACGATGGCTACTGTGTGGTACTGCTCCCACTGTTCTTGCTGCGGTTCGTGGAACTTGCAGCTAGGCATGGACTCGACTCATCGCATCATGGCATTGAGCAGCAGGAACATCCAGCTCAGGTGTAGCATCTACGGCACGGTGCGCACGAAAATTCCGATGGAGATGCCGACGTGGTCTTTCCAGGTCCCCCCCTCACTAGATGCGGCGGGCTCACTCATGGCTCATGGAACGTGTGTTTTGACGAATTTGCCTGAAGGCGGGCACGGACCCCTTGGGTGTCATTATCGAAGCCTCGCAGGTGATGACAGACGTGCACCTTGGCATTGACAGTGCATGACTACCGAAATGGTTTCCCGGGCAAGCTGCTGGTACTAGTACCAAGGCAGAGACGCTCGATCTGCCGAAGGAAAGGAGTGGTGCCCGATCGGATTGTGTCGCCTTCTGACGTCGAGGTGGGAGTCTACGGTGGCGCCACTGTCTTCAATGTCTCTGTTACCATGGAAGGTGTCAGCGGACGAGTTCTTTTCACCTGTGAGGCTTTCCGGGAGAACCTTCAACCCTAGTACAGACCCTGAACCAAGGTAGACAAAAACCTCATCCCCTGAGCCCCCGGCTGCAGGATCGGAATCTTCTTCCTGGTGCTCTTGGGCTGCTTCTTTGCCTTGCAGGGGCCCCTGGATTCCTGAGATCATCTGTCGCACGGGCGCAAAAAAAAGGCGCGGCTTCTGGAGATTACTCCTGGTCAGGAGGGGCTCGCTGCTGGGATCTTGCATGAGGGATCTGTGTCGGAAGGCCCCACAAAACCGGGGCCCGGATGTTTCAACAAGCCTCCTATATTGGGATATGAACACGTTTCAGAAACTCAAAGCCCCGTCTGTGCCTGGATATTCTGCGAAGGAAGTACATTCCGCAGTTAGTGACACGGTAACGAAGCACGGCTGACTCGATGGTGGCGCGGAGCGCACCCTAGAGTGCATCCCACCGAAAATGAAGCGCAACATGAGGTGTTTCGTTGTTTTTACAGTCTCTTGGTGCACCGGAGGTGGGGACCTCCCGGTCCCAGTCTATTAAGGTCCTTCTACCAAGCAGCAGTGTGGGAAAAGGGCTCGGAAGAAAAGGACCTGGGCGGTTGCGCGATCCGACACTTTGACATTCCAAGGCCGCTGACGGACTACATCTCCAGGCTTCTGAAATGCAGGCACGCTGTGTCCTGCTCAATTATATAGACTATACTGTCTACCATTTTACTGCAGCGTATCTTGCACGCCTTGTATTAGCTGCAGTTGGCGCAGTCTGCTTGCTGTGTTCGGATGTGCTGAAACCGCAGAGGGCGCATTGTCAAGCTTCAACTCCGGCTCAAGCTGCTCAGGAAGGATCCCCTGGAGGAGATTGCTTCGCAGGCCATCGTCGGATGTTGCAAAGCCCTCCCTTACCCTAGAAGTCCGAATCTACCCTTGTCTGCCCTGCTCTTTCCTGCCTTACCCTAAGATGCCTGAACAAACTCAACCTCTAATCTTAATGCCTTTGTCTACGGGCTCATGGGTTGGAGAAGTGCACTGCAGCACGCTTCGGTATCTTAGGCACCTGGGATGAGCCCCCAAACCGTTAACTGCTTCGGTTCGGCTTACTGCACAATGCCTGGTTCCCGCCAACCCCAGGTCGCCCAGGATCCGGCGCAGTATGATGAGAGTCCCCACATTGAGCAAGTGCCCCAGATCGGAGACATCCTACGACTTTACAACTTAGGGCTTAGGAGTTTAGGGCAGCATACCACGCTGCCTGAAAGGAAGGGGTGGAGCGAAGATCGGTATGCCCTCGAGCAGGACACACGTGTCTGTAAGCTTCTGGTGCAGCGGTTTTTGTTGCTCCGTTCAGATGCTGGCACCTGCAGGGATTGCGAGTGGTCAAAGAATGCCTCGTCTGGGATTTGTACTGCGGCACCCTTCTAGGCAAGTACTGTACAGAAATATCTATTCTGTGCTTGGCAGAGATCAGAAAGTAGCATGTCTCCGGCACAGCCGACTGAAGCCGTCAGCAGGAGGAGTATCCGGGATTGGAGGGCCTTCGAGACGCAGCCAACGCCGACGATCCCGTTCTGCCGAACGAGGCGCTTGACTTTCTGTAAATTTGTTCAGATGGATTCTTAGTACCGTCTTGACAACTCCAGTGCCACTACCCGTGCGGCCCGTGCGTGGCGCCGACCAACACAGAAACCGTTACTGACCTACCAGTTGCTACATTGCTGCTGCAACAGCAACAGCAACAACTACTTCTGCTGCTCCCGCTCCTGCTGCTACTGCTACTGCTGCTACGACGGCGGCCTGCTACTACTACTACTACTACTACTACTACTACTACTACTACTACTACTACTACGACTCCTATGCAGCAAAAGCAGACATGACCAGCAAGGGGATCGGTGCCCAGAAGGCCATTGCAAGCACCAAACCCTACAAAAGAAGATTGGGTGTCAAAGCCCAAGAGACAGTCGGGTAAGTTGCGTGGCGAACACAAACCCCCAGACAAGATGATGGGTGGAAAACTTTTGGTTCGAGTACTAGTACTCGTACAACTATGCACTACTGCTCCTCCTCATCCTGCTCGTCCTGCTCCTGCTGCTGCTGCAACGCAGCTGCTCCGCAAGCGACTGGCAATGGGATTACTTTTGTCAGTTTCCAGCTTATGCGCAAGTTCTCTGCAGCCTTTGCCCAGGCGTTGCCATACGACGACAGGCCCGAGCCGTCCAGCTCCCGGAGAACTGCAATTGGCCGTTCAGGGGTTGCTGGTGGAGGGGTTTAGGGCCAGGGGTTAAGATCAGTCCGGACCCATGCAAACGAGCAGGACTTGCTGCTTGAAAATGCACTCTCTCCCCTGGCGTGAAGAGAGCCGTTCGACCCTAAATGACCAGGAAACCACGTTCTTCAAGCTCTAGACTCCAGTCTCAACAACATGCGAAGACAGTGGTTGGGGCGAAAGTGTAAAAGCGCAAGTGTTGACGAGCAGCTGGTCGGGACACGTGACAGACAGGAGTGATCCAAATCAATGTGGCCAGGAGACAGCATGGAAGCGCAATTGCGGAGGATCGCACCATTCAAATCTGCACATCTGGAAGGTTTCGTCCCTAATTCATCACTGGTCAATCGACCTGGCCGCCAGACACGGTCGACCGGCTTTTGCATTGTTGTGAGAAGCCTTGTCTGCCCTGTTGTCCACGGCTACCACTCCGGGGAGCCGGATTGAAAGTGCAAGTGTGCATAAAATGCTGATGCCACGGACCAGGTCGCCGCAGCAAGTATTAGCCACAAATTCGTGACGACAGTAGACTCTGCAGACTCCTTGACACAGTATCTTTGACATTCCACCATGCAAGAGCCACAAGCGCTACAGTGTCTGGTGTTGGTCGTGTAGTCCCAACATTGCTGCAATAGTCGTGAGCTCTCGAGGCCACCTGATACACCACCTAACCCGCCGGGGACAGTTGCTTGCTCCTTGGATGCATTCGATGCCTTGACTACTGAAGTGAGCTGCCTGACATTCGACAAGTAGGAGACCTTTTCGATGCTTCATCGCAGCCTTGACTGCGCGGGGATGGTCTTGCTTTGATGTTGCCGGCAGTGACGGCGAGTGCACTGAGAGCACCCGCACCTGCAAGTCACCTGCCAGGATGCTCACAACGCTCGGTTCCTTTCTGATCCCGGGACAGAGAGGGCTCTTGCGCAGCGGCTGCGAGCTTCGAAACGCCAATTCATGTGAAGACCCGCATGGTCGTGCAAAGCTGCATGTATGGATGCAAATCGAAATATCCTTTGTATGAAGGTGTATGAAGACTTCCTTACAACATGCTTGGTTGTTGACAGATTGGGCTGTGAAACAGACCCAGGTCCAAGTAACGCGTGATGCCACTCAAGCGCATCAGGGTAACCATGCTTCAGAAGCTGTCTATATGGATTTGGGCTGTTTGAAGACCTTAAAGCATAGTTGCTCATCTAGCCAGGACTCGCTCTGCCGCACGAAGTGCTGCAGATGCTGCAAATGAAAGCACAGCTGCCCAGAGCTGCCGAGAGCCCCCACAAAATCGAGCAAAAGACACCCTTTTCTCCATGCTTTCGTGCTTCGCCGGAGTTGTCGGTTTCTGTCGGAGCAACGTGGAATGTGTTCGGCTTCGTCGCACAACAAGGGAAGGAGCGACAGCTGGGCCCTTTGCTTCCAACTTCCAGCCTGACCTTCCGCAGAAATCTTGGGGGACAAGTAGAGGGTGCATGAGAGTTCCATGCAGAGACTTCATGATCGCATTCCACGATTCCTTTTAAGCCCTCAAGCAGAAAACGCCAGCATCCTTGCAATGTCGAGAACCATGCGTTGGCATGGCTGAGCATGGCCTGAGATGCCAGATCCATCAGTGGCGAGAAGGCTCGAATGTTCATTTTCTCAGCTAGGCTGCCGTAAACCCATCCCTAGCCATGTTTTGAGCAACCCTAACATCGCTTCTGTCAGTGTCATGGGACCGTGGATCTATTAAGACTCCTCCATGTTCGTAAGGCACGCCCGCATTGCGGTGATCGGTGCCGGATGGTGGTCGCAGGGCTGGCATCTTCCCCACTTGAGCCGGAATCCACGTTCCCTCCATAGTTGATCTCAGCGGAAATCTCTCAGCTTGCACAGCACTTCAGAGCGCAGATTAGGGATAACCCGCGCCGAGTTGCAGAAATCTCTGCTATCGTGGAACCTTGCGATGCTCCACGCAGACTCCTGGCTTCACTGGTCAGACTAGCTCTTGCAGCTGTTAGTTCAAATCGTTGCAAATACTGAGAGAGTGCGATGTACGCATCACGAATCGTCACTGGCCGGAACCCCAAGACATCAACTGACACAGGAGGCTAACTGAGCTGAGACCCTAAGTCACTAAGTGGGCGGAGACCCACTATGACCCACTCCTTTGCTTCCTGAAAACAGTCTTTTTCTTTCTGGCCGGCATAGGCAGCTTGTTGCAGGCACACCAAGCATCTGAAACACCCAATCTTGGGTTGTAGTGTTGAAGCGGGTCTTGCGCACGTGGCGACCAGTACCGATCTGGACTCTGCAAGAAGAGCGTGCTAGATTGCCGGCTGAGATCGTCGCCTCCATGCGGATTGGGATTACTGGAAGTAGGTGTGTTCTTGAATCAGTCGCCCCCATCTCTGCCGGCGTTAGAGCAGTGTAAAGTTATAATGCGGACCGTAGGTCCCCGATGATAGGAGTTTCGTGGCAGGTCGTCTCACTGCTCAATCACCAAAGTGCCCAATCGGTTTCTCAGCAGTCGCCGAACCGCAAACAAACCGAAGCGAGTATTTCAGCAAGCAGCAGGATTTGGAATCGACTGCCAGCACAGTTGCAGCATGTTGCAGCTCTCTTTGTCCCTCCCTCTGTCTCAATAGATTCTCTCTCTGTCTCTCTCTAAGCCTCGCTTCTCCTCACATCCTAGCACCTGGTGAGTCTGTGACCCGAGGCACTCTGAACCCAGACATGAAGACGCTTGAAGAGCTAAAGAGCAACTAGGTTGTCCATCGGAAACTTTGTTGTTTTTCCTTGTTGGCTTCATGGGATCTCATTACCATGACCCCTCAACCTGAAGCTCTGAGCCCTAAACCCTTGAACCCTACACCCTCAACTCCCAAACCGAGAGCCCTGATGGGCCCAGCTAGGTATCTACGCGGTGCCCACCTTCAAGACTTTTGAGACTCGACCCACATCATCGCTTTGCTTTGCTGTCTGGCCCACGTTTTTGGACAAGCAGATCACATACTACTAGTATATATGATATGCTGATATACATTGTGCATTCTACTATTATATAGGTTATTTGATTGACCAGATAGGATGGGCCATGAGATGTACGAGCTTTGCTTGTAGTATAAAACGTGTAACGCAATAACATGTAAGAGTGTAAGATGTTTGTGCGAGGACGAGTTTTTACTTTCACCAGCTGCGGCATCAACAGACGGGGTTGTGGTGGCCACCAGCCATTCATCCCATGCCGAGATCGGCTTGAAATCACTGGCAGCTGGCTTCCACGTCTTTATGGAAAAGCCGATGACGACTGACCCAGCTGAAGCAAGCAGTCTTGCACGAGCAGCAGCCAAACAAGACAAAGTTTTCTTGGTGAATAACACTGCGAATTTCCGGGACTCTGCCCAGAAAGTGCGCGAAGTGGTCGCGAGCATCTTGATGCAATAGGTTCAAGTCCCAGTGCACCATGTCGTTGTTCTAAGCACCGATAGCCGGGGAAGCCTGCATACCCTGCAAGGCAAAATTGGAACGGTGAAGTTCGCACAAGGTGCCCTGACCAGACTGGTGCAAGAAATCGGTAGACTACCTAGTGTACTCCAGAGCATGCACTGCATGGCCAAACCTTATGCGTTAAACTTATGCTGCGTCAGTTCTGGATGTGCCAGGCTTTATGGCCTGCCCACTTCTCTGGCTCTTTGAAAATCCAGAGAATGAGGGCTGGGTCCGACCAACAGGAACTATGGAAGGAGCTCTTTGCTCGCCATTCTTGCAGATCTCAAAGGGACTTTGTGTAGACAGGGCCCCAGCATGCGACATCTCCGGAAGTGGAAGTAGGAGAGTCTCCTCCCTGCGGTGTGGAGGAAATGGATTTGGATGGGGTCAAATGTCACATGCTTTGGCCTGGCTGTACTACGTCACAGAGCTCGAACCAGCGAGACCTGCCAGAAAGCCTCCCCGTATCATGAAGACGGAACAATAAGTCGGGTCTTCGGTGTGTAGTAGGGGCACTCAAGGTCCGAGGTTAGATCGGGTGAGAGCGACATGTGCATCCAGAAGTGAGGAGCGTCTATTGCAACATGGTCAAATCAGAGAAGACTGGGGCCGACATCTTTGATACCGCTGTCATTCAGTGCTTGGGTGGGGCATCTCGGCTGCACGGCTCCCTTGATCGGGGTACCGTGAGGGTTCAGGTAATTATAAGTATATTAACACAAACTTGAAGAGTAGTAGTAATTGTAGAATATTAGCATGTATTTTAAGATTAGTATTAGTATAGACTTACAACTAGTATTAGTATTTGTGTTAGTATAAATAGAATACAACCTAGGCGGTTGGAGAAGTCCTCGCAAACCCAGCGAGGACGAGTCGCCATCGAGAACTATGAAGTTGTATCTCCTCTTTTCAGTCTCTGAAGGCCCTGATATGAAGAGCCCTATCCCTGCAAAGCAAGAAACGAAAGAATCCCTGTCCCTTAAGGGCCCTCATGTCAGGATCCCTATCCCTTACAGGCCCCACTATTCGGATCCCTAATGTTGACAAGGCCGTTCTGAACGTGCAAGGGACAGCTTCTCTGCCCTTCAAGTGACTTGGATCAGCACCTGGCGAGCCGTGGAAAATTTAGGGTTTCGGGTTTATTGCACCTCCATACCTCAACCTCGGGTTAGATGTCGAATTCTCTTTCTGTCTTGCCAGAACAACAGGAGCACTTTTTATGGCAGAAGTCTTCGGCAAGGTGCCGGAGACAGCCCTGTCGACAAAGTCATCAATCCATAGACCTTGGACGGACACCCTACGAAACCTTCAAAAACCGCATTGCCACTGTGCTTCAAGCTTTACTAGTGGAAGCAAACCACTGACCCATGTGTGCAACTGCTACAGTCAAGGTTGTCGCGATAGTTCTCTTGCCGAAAGAAAGCCCGAAATCCCGAGCTGCAGAAGTTAAAAGGCTCTTGCAGTTGTCGTGAGTTGCCGTCATTTTGTCATTTTGTGTCAGTTAGTGCCTTCTGAAAGGAACCCACCGACAAAAACAGGCTGGGTTGATTTTTGTTTCGGGTCTAGGTAATAATAGATGGCTTTCTGTTGTCCTTAAGGTCCTATGCGAGCTCAACCAAGCAAATCGATATGAAGATCTTCGGCTCTGAAGGAGTGGTTACCTACAGTGGGGAGGACGGGCGGCCTGTGGTCTGTTCCGGCGACTGTATGGGAGTTTCCGAAATTTAGGGTACCTTATTTTGGGGTCCTTATAATAAGGATCCTACTATTTAGGGCGCTATATTAGGGTCCCCTATTTTCGCAAACCCCTGTATGTAAACAACTCCTGCTGGAACGCTTCGTCTGGGAAGGACATGCATCCGTCCTCTGGTGGGCTGAAGGTTCAGCTACATGATGGAAGCGAGCACCACGTCCCAGGCCAGGAATGTTTCTGCGAGGCTTCGTTTCTTCTGTCTTACTGCTTAAGAACGAGCTTGCTGCGCTGACAGCTTCACATGTTTTCACCATCTGCCAGGTTTCTACTTCGAAAACTACGACTCGGAGGGAGATGGGCCAGAATCACTCCACGCTTTTATCCATGGTTGCCAGTCACTTGGGAAATCTGGTCCCAAAATCTCGCGTTGCTGCGCAGTCACTTGGTGAAGACTGATCTGCTTCTGCTTTTAGGTCTTGGTGAGCAGTTCACGAATGCCGCAGATGTCCTCTTGGGGAAGAAGGCTTGAACTGCCATGCACTGCTATGATCTTTTGCTGGATTTGCTGACAGTATAAATTTCAGTTCCGGTATCCTCTTCTGCAACTCCCCGTGATTGTACTGACTGTTCAAGACTGCCTGCAGAGAGGAACAGTACTCTTAAAGTCTTTTGGGGCATGACGCATGGCAGAGTCCACGGGCGTGATATGCAGCTCAAACGAGCGCATCAGTGAATCTATGAGAAAGTATCTCTGCAACGTCTGTGCACCTTCTCTGTGGCCTCCCCTTGCGTGACGGCCAGCCTGCTGGACAGCATGCATTGTACCATTGGCTGAGATTAGTGTGCACCTGCCATGTTGCAAGTCAACCCGGCGCACGGACATAGAAGTACCGGAAACCGTAGAGCGTTGCAGTTGTGCTGGTGTCCACTCCTTGGCCATTGCAAAACCACTGGGTCGTCGAACGCGGCGTGTTCTGCCTGTGCCAGGTGGTGGATACAATTCATGCCATGTACCGGAGTGCCCAATCTGGGCATACCGAGACGATTGCTGCGGAAAAGGCTATGTTATGCTGACCAAGCGATCCGATGCATGCGCATAGATGACTCAATGGGATATGCTCATGCAAGCAATATCTCTGCGAAAGACGTAGCACTGATTCACTGATGGTCCTGGGCAAAGAGATCGAACAGGACATGATAGTGTCAGACTCTCATTGAGAGCTGCTGTGACACACCGGCAAACCCACCAGAAGGAAGCACGCTTTGTCGGCCCTTCTCAGGCCTCGTCGCCTCAGAAGTCTCTGCAGATTCAGAGGAGTGGAGTCTTGGATACATGCTAGGTCAAGCTTGTCGCTATCCTTCCCGACTTTCTCAGGACTTGCAACTGCTGCCGCTCCTTCCAGAGAAGGGCATGTCAGCAGCGCCACCAAGAGCAAGTTGCCCTGGCTGGCCCAAGACTCAAGAGGGCTGTACCATGCTGTACTCCGTTTATCTCCGCATGCCCTGAACATGCGTGCCTTGGGTGAGGACAGCTGCAGCGACTTGGCGCCGGTTGTTCTGAAGCTCTTGCGCCTGGAAGTGAGACCTTGAGCAAATGACTCTGTGCAAAGTTCACAGCCTTTATGTAGAGTGCGTCTGAGCATGCTTGAAGTATCCTTTTGGAACAAGAAGGAAGGCCGATTCCTGATGGCCTCGGGCTCGTCGTTGCGTGGCTCCGAGATGCGCAGTCAGCTGGAATGGGCAGGGCTCGAGGACTCCGTTTCCTTCTTTGTCGTTGCAGCTGGCAAGGATGAAGTTGCACTCTACAGCCTGCAGAGCCAAAGGTTCCTGCAGATCACTAGCAGGGGCCTGCAGCTTTCGGAGAAGATGAATTGGGAGCATGTGTCCCACACGAATCGCACCACTGCTTTCAAGGCTTTTGGCAGCTGCTCAGCTTCATTCACAGGGCGCGGATTGTTCCAGAGACCGGATTCCCCGTTTGGCTCTTGGGCTTTATCCCTGCACAAATCCTAGGTGATGATGGGCACATGGGTCTCTGGCACGAGGAGACTGGTCAGTTCGTCAGGCTCCGCGGCACCGCGGCCAGCGCAGCCAGCTGTGAAGACACCAGCGCCTGCAGTGGCTTGACCAGCGAGGCAGAGTAACTTGTCAGCAGCTTTTTAGCACTTGCTGATTTCACGATTGCAGGCAGCATCTGCGCCTACCGGAAGGGAGAAGATGATCCTTACAGCAGAGCAGACCTTTGTGGCCCAGACGCTGGAGCATGAGTTCATGTTCTACCTGGGCGGCAGCTCTTGCCGCGACGTCTTCTTTGATGCCACAGATGCCAAGTGCCAGCAGCGGTGTTGCTCCGCAGCACGAAGCTGCAGTCATGTCTTCTATAACGCTGCTTTACTTCTTTGCGATTGTTGTTCTCTGCAGAACGCAGGCGGAGAGATCCCGAAGTGCAAGTTTTACAGCGTGTGGGCAGACGGGCGCTGCCAGCTCGCCGAGGCTTGCACACCCCAGGTGGAGCCACGAGCACTGACCTTCCAGAGGGCCCGGGCAAGGCAACGAGCAAGTTCCAACTTGTCCCTGATCGAGGAAGGCGAGGAAGAGAAGGAAGCGCAGGAGGAAGCGCAGGCAGAGGAGGTAGCCGCTGGTGAGGGTGAGACAGCCTTGACAGAAGCAAGTGAAGGATCTTCGGCAAACCTTACTTGGTGGCATACTTGGTGGCCAGGCGAGAAATCTAGCGAGACACCCAAAACCGATGACATGTCCAAGATTACGTTTTTCAAAAAAACCGTGATCGGTGGCACGACTGCTTATGGCCTTCATCTTCTTGTGACGGGAATTTCATTTGCGATTCCACCGGCGAGGGTGCTGGAGTCACCGTCAAACAAGACACGAGGACATGGGTCTATGACAATTGCAACGGGGGGGGGACCCACGGAATTGGCTCATGTCACGTTCAATGTCCTGATGGATATGTGGCAACATCCTTGAAGATGCGTTCGGGTTCAGCTATACAGATCTATTGTCACCAGATCTGCGGCGTAGAGCTGACGGACTGCAGGTGGTCAATCCAATACTCGGATCCCTGGTCGGGTTACTTGACCTGGGGGCAGCACACCGATAAAAAAAGGTCGGGGTGTTGGTGGGGCCGCTGTTTTCAGACATCATCGTCAACCGGGTGGTACCCCAGGGCCAAGGGCCCTGGGTGGTTTGCGACGGGCGCCCAACACTATGGTGACAAGCCAAACTACCAAGAGCTGCTGACAGGACTCGGGCGCGAAGATTTGGGCGACGGCACTGGGGGCGGATGGACCGCTCGCCTCTGCAAAGTTGCCAACCCGACGAAGATCATTGCGCGCAGAACAGAGCGGGGGATGTGGAAGGATCTGGGCTTATTCAGTGGCACCTATGCAGTTCCCCTTGAAAGGTTTGACTACTGGCAGAACTTGGAGCCTGACGTGCTCTGGGACGAGGCCATTTGGCCCAGCAGTTGGGCCGGAGAAACCAGAGAAGCGATGGCTTCTGTTGAAGCAGTCGTAATGTGCACCAAAGACCCGGTGTATGCCGTTGGCTGCTCTGCTTGTGAAGCAGGCACCGTCCCCCCATTCCCTGGGTCGCAGGACTGCGTGGCCTGTGGGGTCGGCACCTACACAGAGACCAAGGGAGTAGCTACCTGCCAAACATGCCAAGCAGGCTTCGAGACTCGCCGCCGCCGGGCAAAAAGCTGCGTGGCATGTCCGGCTGGCAGATATCAAGACAAGTTCCTGCAGACCCAAGATGCTTGCAAGCCGCTCAGCTGCAACATCCTGTTCACTTTCTGAAGTTTCCATGATGCATTCTGATGACCTGCATGCAGAGTCGCCACTGGCAAGGCCTTGCCCTGCGGGTCACTTTTCAGCTGCCGGTGCTGCCGTCTGCAGCGCCTGTCCAAACGGCAGATTCGCAGACGATGAGGGCCAAAGTGCATGCAAGAACTGCCCGGATGGCACCCAATCCTTTACTGCCGCCACTTCTTGTTTCGGCGACTGTCCGTGTGGCAAGGAATTCAAGTGCAGCTGCAGCTTTGGAGAACAGCTCTCTTACAACGTCACTGTGCCTGTCCAGGAGAAAGGACCCGTAGTGCAGCAGGATGCAGCTAGGCAGCTATGCGCCACATACACCTTGCACATCAATTCGCGTGAATCGCAGGAACACAGTACCAAGTTCGCATGAAGTTCTTGGGTGCAGAGATCAGTTCTTGCCGCTTCATGGACCAGCCCTTGACCGAGTTGGATCGCGAGATCAGCTGCAACGAAACGCTCACAGCTCCCAAGCGGAAAAGGGAGGATGTCGATTGTTCATTGCCCATTGCGGTTTCTGAGTCGCATGCTTTCAGTCGTTGGAGCCACCATGCCCTCCGTCTTTTGAATAGCTGAGGATAATGGTCGCACCTGCCTTGCGTGGGAGAAGCGCTTGACCCACCTGGAACCCCGTCTAAAGTCTGGGGCCAACGAAAGCCAGAGAACTCTGAATCTGACGAGTTCCTTCTGCCGCAATCCTGATAACTCTTCCACGATCTGGTGCTACGTGGGTGACGACAATGTGGAGTGGGAGTTTTGCCAGCCCAAGGCGGAGGTGGTGTTTCAGACAACCTTGCGGCTTTTGGGGCAGGAGACCGCAGACTTGCGGCTATCTGGTGACCGCGACAGCTGCAGAGGTTTGCAGGAGTTTTCAGTCTTGCACCCAATGAAGGCCACTTGGGGCAGCTGCCGCCAGGGAGCCCGTGACACCTGGCGCTTCATGCCTGTGGCAGCCGCTCCAGGGAGGGCGCTGCTGCAGTTCACAGGCAATGGCAGGCAACAGTGTGCTGGTATGGCGGGCGAGATGCTGGACTGCTATGAGCACGACCTCAATCAGCTAGCACACTGGCCTTGGTCTTAGTCCTGTAGCTCATGCACTTGACAAGTGGCATCTCTGTCAAGGTGCCCATGGATTCCTTGCACGAGAGCATCAGCCGCTGGACAATGAAGGAACACGGACAGAAGGAGCATCTCTGCGGTGTCGACGAACACTCGACCTGCTATGCCAGACCGGCCTCTTCGGATGCTCTGCAATTCCTGGTCTCGCTTGGCAAATTAGGGGATCCTGTGGGCCAGCACTTCATCTCCAAGATCCAGCTGAAGAACACTTCAACACCCAGCCAATTCCGGTACAGTGCCTGGCCTGGGCATACAGTTCTGTTTGTGAGTGGGGCTGCGATTGGGATCCGGTTGCAATTTATGTCTGCCCCATTCCTCTCAGGCTATTGGATGTCCAGCTTGGTTTTCCGGCCCCAGCAGTGCTACGACTTGCAGACAACCTGCACGCAGGCCTTCGGCGCTTCGTGCCCAAATAGGATGTTTTTGTTGAAAGTGCCTTGATCCGGAATTGTAAGGCCAAGGACTCAGAGCTCTACCAACTGGAGGCCCACCGCGTCCAGTGTGCAAGTGGCCAGGCCATGCAGTCGGTGGCTTGGCAGAGTTCAACTCAGCAAAGTTTTGCAAAGAAAGGAGAACTCATCTGAGTCTGAGGTGGCCTTCAAGGCATGCGGGGCCAAAAGCTACCAATATGAGTACCGCTGCTGCGACGTCGAGGGCATGGGCGGCTGTGAGCTGGAGTTGACTCCCTGGACCAAGCGAGAGCCCTCGGGCCATGGCCGAATCGAGGCTCTGGCGGAGCACGTTCTGGGCTGCCAAGAGCAGTGAGTCCTGACTCATTTCGTGCTTGAGGCCAAGGATCCTGGCGAGAGCAAATCAGAGGTCCGCTATTTGTTCACCTGTTGTCAGGTGACTGCCCATGAGCCGATGTCTGTTGTAGCCGCAAAAGATCCGATCCCACAGTCCTACACAGACTTCGAAGGCAACTACTTCCCTACCTCTCGCGTTGAGGGGCGCCTGCTCTACGAGGCTTTTTATCACTTCAGCCGTGACTCCGTGGGCTCGGTCCAGAACTTCAGCTTTGACCCATTTAAGGGCCACTGGTGCCTTTTCTACAGCGAGGCAGGGGGTCCACTAAAGCACCGTGACTCAGTATAACTTCGACCTTAAACCCCAGAACCCCTTCAGGAGGCCAAATGCGTGGCTCAGGGGAGCATCCATCCGTTGCAGCTGATCCCGGGCCTGGGGGACCCTTTCGAGGTCAAGAGCCTGGGTCCAATCCGTTCACAGCAGGAGCCAGGCGCGCCCATGAAGGAGCTGAAGGCAAGGGCGGGAGCCATGTGAGAAGATCCATTCCATCGAGTTCTATCGCGATCAATCAGAGAGATATACCAACTTCAGCAGTGTGGATCGGGGTGGTGGAGGGGAAAGTGACTGTCAGAAGCGCTCAGCCGCAATGTGGCATTCATGTCCGCTTGCAGTATGCACGGCTCATACAGCAACAAGAACACACTGTAGACAATCTGAATCATAAATTACTCAAAACCTAAGAAAGACGATGAAGATCGGTGACCCCTGAAGCAGGAAGGGCAAAGCAGCTTGGGCTGCGCTGGAAGAAAGACTGACGTTCATCCCAAAACAAGAGTTGATAAACTGATAAACTAATCCCAAGAGGAAACACAGCTGCGGTGTCTGATAAGTTGCTTGCAGATCGTGAAGTTCAAGACGCCGCCACGGATGACTCAGCGAAAGCTGGAGAAACTCGAGCTTGAGGAACAGGCGATGGACCACTTCACCCCATCTAAGGAGATGACCACCTACGACCTGGACATGGTTGAGAGCCTGGATTGCATCAATGCGTGTATTCTCTGTGCAGCGCAGTCAGGCGAGTGGTATGATGCCTCCACTAGCAGAGGAATTGGATGCCGTCTGTGCCCAACTATCGGCCCTACTGCGCGCTGCGCGACCCGAAGCAGTGGGAGAGCTTGCACGATCTTGAGGAGCCTCGCTGCGAAAGCCCCACAACCTTGAAATTAACAGTCAATTCACCCACCAAGCAGAACTAAGCCGATTTTCCAGTCATGCGAAAGGACGAGGAGAGCTCTGGCTGGGGTGTCGAGAAGAGGAACCAGTTGCAGGGCCAGATCTGTGTTGAAAAGAGGTTTGAGGTGTTTTGGCATGGTTGAGCTGAGGGATGAATCATGACCTCCAAGGCTTGAGGAGCTCAACTTGGATGCGAACCGGGATCGCATTGGAGCCGTTCTTGATCTTCCTGCTGCGGTTCACCCATGCTACCACTACTTCCTGCAAGGTGCAGGCATCAAGCAAGAGCCATTCCAGAACGATTTTGACCGCTGGGACTACCTCTCCTTCGGAGATGTTGCAGTGCCTGCGCTGAAGAAGGCAAGCACCGCCTACGTCGACAGACAAAAGGACAGACGTAACAAGAGGAGGGAAGATGAAAAGGCGGCCAAGGAAAAGGTCCAGGAGATGGAAGAGGATAGACAGAAGCAAAGGAGGGCTCAAGAAGCGGGAGAAGGAGGACCTTTTCGCGCGCAGCTTTCATGTCCTCTAAAAATTCTCTCGTGGACTTGTCAGGAAAGAGCCCAAGTCCACAACCAGCAGGATCGTGGAGGGGCGGTGCTTTTGCGGACTTGTTTGCAACCCACACAACTTGCCGCACACAGGAAAAAACCCAAGTCCACCACCAGGAGGACGGGCGTTTGTCTTTCATTCTCAGAGATACTGGGTACCTGCAACTGCGGTGTCGATCGGGATCAGGGTCGAGCGATGACGACGATGACTGGGAGGAAGCCGAGACGTTCGAAGGCCGAGTTTTATTTTGCGAGGCTAGCGCACGCAGGCATAGACATCGATGCCGCGGACGCAGATGAGATCGAGAAGGTGGCCACCAGTATGAACGCAGAGGGGGGCTCTGAGGATCTAGAGCTTCCGGATGAAGTTTCTGAAGAGAACTATGCTGGCGCTACTACCCTGTCGATGGAGAAGTGCGCCTGGAGGTACGTCCGCATGCGCTTGAGAGCTTCTGATGGCGAGAGCGCGGATTGCACAGGAGAGAGGTTCGATTGCAGAAGCACTCGCAGAAGGAGATGGAACATGACTTCAAGCAGACAAGAGCCCCGCCTTGATTTAAGAAAAGTGGGCCAAGGTCGATCACAGTTTCCGATTTATTCAAACCATTCATTTCATGTCCATGCTGCGAGATGGCAACCGAAAAGGCAAGTGCTAGTTTTCCTAAACCCTGGACCAGCCCAACACTGAATTCCCAGCACGGCAGGGGGTGATGATGGTGGTGGGGGGGGGGGGGGGGCGGGCGGCCGTGGCGGCGGTGGCCGCCGCTGATGCCAATGCTGCTGAAGGTGTTGGTGTGGCTGGGGCAGGGAGCAGTTTGGTTGGTGGTCAAGTAGCAAGTGTTTGGGTGTTTCGTGGATTGTCTCGAGTTGGGGCAGAGGGCAAGGCGGGAAAAGTGTACTGTTGTAGCAAGCTGGGCAGCAGGATGGTATGTTTCGGCAGTGGCAAACCTTTGTTGAAACCACTTGACGTCGATGTACGTTCTTGGTCGTTCTTGAGTACTAGCGCAACAAAGCATGCCACAAGCCTGCCGCCTGCCCAGACCTA